CGACCTGATATTACGACGGCGAGCGGGAATAAGTTTGAATATGAGGAGAAAAATACTAGAGCTCTAACCAATGGTTGAATTTCGGGACTTCGAACTGGGTACCTATTGCAGGACAGCTACAGAGCTGGTGCGCGCACGTAGTCGATTCAGAATCATCAGGCGAGTTCGTCTGAAGCATCTAGAGGTCTGAACTCGGTCTGCTACTGGAGCTAGATTCGCGAAACTATCAGCTGTTTCGAGTGATCTTGACAGGTGCTGTCAGTTTTCTGGTCTTGAGTCGGGCTGTAGGACAGCTACATATCTGGTACGCACACATGCTCGATTCTGAATAATCAGGCGCGTTCGTATGAAGCATCTGGAGGTCTGGAATGGGTCGTCTACTCGAGCGGAACTATTCGTGTCCTTCCAATGTTTTCGAGATGGTGGTGAATCTCTTCACTTAACTCGAGCTGCAGATGAGCTTGAGAGCTCTTCGGCACAGCAGTCGGACGGAAATCATCAGGCGCGCTAGTTTGAAGTATCTAGATGCTTAGATTGGGTCTGTCATGAGCGCAGACACCGAATAACTAGTCATACTCTGTTATTTTTCTGTTGATGGAATTTGTTTTCTTGTCTGAACTCGAGGTGCAGATGAGCTACAGAGCTCTTAGGCACAGTAATTAGAAGAGAATCATCAGGCGCGCTATTTGAAAGTATCTAAACGCCTGAACTGAATGCACTCAGCGGCCGGGCAGAACAATTATTCGTGCTCTGCTAATTTCTTGGAGATGGTATTGGTTTTCCTGGTTTTACTCGTGCTGCAGATGAGCTACAGAGCTGTTCAGCAGAGCAATGGGAAGGGAATCCTCAGGGATGCTAGTTAAATGTATCCAGGCGCCTGAAATCAGTCTGCTATCAGCGCTCGGGCTGAAAAACTGTTCGTTCTCTGCTAATTCTTTGGAGATGGTACATGGCAAGGAAGCTCTACGAGTCTCCCGGCGGTAACCAAGGTTGACTGTTTACCGCCAGCGTCCATGAGGCAAAATCATACCGGCAAAAAATGACTCGTAGAGCTTCCCTGGGAACGTTAGAGACGAAGCTAGAAGAGTAACTGGTAGAGCTTCCCTTAGCTAGTTGCTGGAGGCTTAAGAGTAATTCCGGCGCGCTGGAGAGCGAGTTGGCCCGAGCAATCTCGACGAAACTTTGCTGATTTTTGCTCGGTTGAAAATTATGTTCTCAAAATTCAACAATTCGTTAGAGTTCTAATATTTTCCGTGATTTTCGATCTTATTCCCGCTCGCCGTCTTAATCTCAGCTAGATCGGGTACTTATTACTGCAAAGACGCGTAGCTCGTAGAGCTTCCCTTAGCTAGTTGCTGGAAGCTTAAGAGTAATTCCGGGGCGCTGGAGGGCTAGTTGGCAAGAATCGACGGAACTTGTGCAGATTTTTGCTCGGCTGAAAATTAGGTTCTCGAAATTCAACAATTCGTTTGAGCTCTAGTATGTTTTCCCGTGGTATTCGATATTATTCCCGCTCGCCGTCTGAATCTCAGCTCGATCGGGTACCTACAACTGCCAAAAAGCGTCCGGGCGGGATCGCTGTTTCGAGTCATCTTAACAAGTGCTGTCGATTTTCTGTACTTAACTCGAGATGCAGGATAGCTACAGAGCTGGTACGCACACGTAGTCGAGCCAGAATCATCAGGCGCGTTCGTCTGAAGCATCTAGAGGTCTGAACTCGGTCTGCTACTCGAGTTAGGTCCGCGAAACTATTGGCTGTTTCGAGTCCTCTTGACAGGTGCTGTCGGTTTTCTGTACTTAACTCGAGCTGTAGAAGAGCTACAGAGCTGGTACGCATACGTAATCGATTCAGAATCATCAGGCGCATTCGTCTGAAGCATCTAGAGTTCTGAACTCGGTATGCTACTCGAGCTAGGCCCGCGAAACTAAGAGCTGTTTCGAGTGATCTTGACAGGTGCTCGCAGTTTGCTGTACTTATCTCGAGCTGTAAGAGAGCTACAAAGCTGGTGCGCGCACGTAATCGATCGATTCAGAATCATCATGCGCGTTCGTCTGAAGCATCTAGAGGTCTGAACTCGGTCTGCTACTGGAGCTACGTCCGCGAAACTATTCGTATTCTACCGATACTTTTCGAGATGATGGTGAGTTTCGTCACTTAACTCGAGCTGCGGATGCGCTTGAGAAGTCTTCGGCACAGCAATCGGAAGGAAATCATCAAACGCACTAGTCTGAAGTATCTAGACGCTTGGATTGGGTCTGTTATGAACGCAGTAGCCGAACAACTAGTCATACTATGTTATTTTTCTGGTGATGGAATTGGTTTTCTTGACTTAACTCGAGCTGCAGATGAGCCCCAGAGCTTTTAGGCACAGCAATCGGAATAGAATCATCAAGCGCGCTATTTGAACGTATCTAGACGCCTGACCTCAGTCTGCTATCAGCGATCGGGATGAATAACTATTCGTACTCTGCTAATTTCTTGGAGATGGTATTGGTTTCCTTGGTTTTACTCTGGCTGCAGATGAGCTACAGAGCTGTTCAGCACAGCAATGGGAAGGGAATCATCAGGGGCGCTAGTTAAATGTATCTAGACGCCTGAACTCAGTCTGCTATCAGCGCTCTGGCTGAAAAACTATTCGTTCTCTGCTAATTCTTTGGAGATGGTATATGGCAAGGAAGCTCTACGAGTCTCCCGGCGGTAACCAAGGTTGACGGTTTACCGCCGGCGCCCAGTTCGGGCGGAATCGCTTTATCGAGTCACTAACCCGTACTTAACCCGAGGTGTACTTAACCCGAGGTGTAGGAGAGTTACAGAGCTGGTACGCACACGTAATCGATTCAGAATCATCAGGCGCGTTCGTCTGAAGCATCAAGAGGTCTGATCTCAGTCTGCTACTCGAGCTAGGCCAACGAAGCTATTAGCTGTTTCGAGTGATCTTGGCAGGTGCTGTCGGATTTCTGCACTCAACTCGAGCTGTAGGAGTGCGACAGAGCTGTTACGCACACATCGATTCAGAATCATCAGGCGCGTTCGTCTGAAACATCTAAAGGTCTGAAAACGGTCTGCCACTCGAGCTAGATCCGCGAAGCTATTCGTATTTTGCAAATGTTTGACGAGATGATGATGAGCTTCTTCACTTAACTCGAGGTGCAGATGAGCTTGAGAGCTCTACAGCACAGCAATCGGAAGGAAATCATCAGAAGCGCTAGTCTGAAGTGTCTAAACGCATGGATTGGGTCTGTTATGAACGCAGAAGCCCAACAACTAGCATAGTCTGCCTAAGAGCTCCAGAGCTCTTAGGCACAGCAATCGGAAGAGAATATTCAGGCGCGCTATTGAAAAGTATCTAGACGCCTGAACTCAGTCTGCTATCAGCGCTCGGGCTGAAAAACTATTCGTTCTCTGCTAATTCTTTGGAGATGGAACATGGCAAGGAAGCTCTACGAGCCTCCGGCGGTAACCCAGGTTGACTGTTTACCGCCGGCTTCCAATAATTCTGGCGCGCTGGGGGGCTAGTTGGCGCAAAATCTCGACGGAAGTTTTGGGAATTTTCGATCTGTTTAAATTCGATTTCTCGAAATTCAACCATTCGTTAGAGCGCTAGTATTCTTTCCCGTGATATCCCATCTTTTTCCCGCTCGCCATTCCAATCCCAGCTCGATCGGGTACCTATTACTGCCAAAAAGCACAGAGGCGGGATCGGCTGTTTCGAGTCATCTTGACAGGTGTTGTCGGCATCAACACCTAATGAACAGAGCTGGTATGAACACCCAATCGATCCAGAATCATCAGACGCGTTCGTCTCCAGCATCTAGAGGTCTGAACTCGGTCTTCTACCCAAGCGTGGTCCGCACAACTATTTGTACTCCACTGATGTTTTCGAGATGATGATGAGTTTCCTTACTTAACTCGAACTGCAGATGAGCTAGAGAGCTCTTTGGCAGAGCAATCGGGAGGAAAAAAATCAGGCGCGCCATCTTCAAGTATATAGACGCTTGAACTCAGTATGCTATTAGCGCTCGGGCTGAACAACTATTCGTAATATGCTAATTTCTTGGAGATGGTATTGGTTTTTTTCACTTAACTCGCGCTGCAGATGAGCTACAGAGCTGTTTAGCACAGCAATCGAAAAGGGAATCATCAGAGGCGCTAGTTAAAAGTATCTAGATGCCTGATCTCGGTCTGATATCAGCGCTCGAGCCGAACAAATATTCGCACTCTGGAAATTCTTTGGAGATGAGATTTGTTTTCATGATTAATTCGAGCTGCAGATGAGCTACAGAGCTGTTCGGCACAGCAATCGAACGGAACTAATCAGGCGCGCTAGTTCCAAGTATCTAGACGCCTGTACTCGGTCTGCTATCAGCAATGGGACCGACAAACTATTCGCATTCTGCTATTTTTGAGAGATGGTGATGGTTTTCTGAACGCTCTTCGGCGCAGCCATCGGCAGGACATCAACAGGCGCGCTAGTTTACACTCCTTCTTTTTCCCTCACTCCTTCTTCTCTCACTCCTTCTTCTTCACGTCCTCCTTCATGAGACCCCGCCCTCGCGCGCGCAATGCGAGATTGCCGCGCCCGCATTGAACGAGGAAGCTCTGCAAGTTCCCGGCGGTAACCAAGGTTGACGGTTTACCGCCGGCCCCAGTAATCAACAACCAGACCGAGTTCAGCTGTCTGGACACTTTGAGCTAGCGCGCCTGTTGATTTTCTTTCGATTGCCGTGCCGAACAGCCTGAAGAGAACCATTACCATCTCTTTTTTTAAAAAAAAGCAGACTACGAATAGTTGTTCAGCCCCAGCGCTGAAGACCGACCGAGTTCGGGCGTCTAGATACTGTAAAACTAGCGTGCCTGATTATTCCCGTCTGTTTGCTGTGTCCCACAGCTCTGTAGCTCATCTGCAGCTCGAGTTAAGTCAAGAAAACCAATACCATCTATGAGAGTCTCTGCGTCTTAGTATGAGCCCTGTAGGCGCACTTTGACCATCAACACACTTGGGGGAACCAACTGCATGTCGGCATGAAAAAACAACTGGCACCGGCGGTGAAGCGTCAACCTGGTCTTTTTTTGCGGTCTCTTGCGGACGGTCGATTCGAGCCTCCACGGAGGCAGACCGAAACACAAAGCAACTCAGAACAGAGCCTGAGAGCAAACGCTGAGCGCACTAACAGCGAAGCTGCACAGCAATGCCCAAGAGCGTAAAACCCACTAAGAGTCAACTATGAAAATTAAGAAGATGCAGAGATGTACAAACAGCAAAGCAAGAAGCAGTGAGAGACCATACAGTAAACACTGGTTTATACAGCGATTACCGTCTCAGCACCACTGAAAGACCACGCACGTGAAACATGACGTGAATGCAACACAGAATAAGGAATGAATTGAAAATCAAATGTAAGCAAAGAGAGCGTAACAAATCCACTTATGAGACCTGCCAGCGGAGAGCGGAAGGAAAGCCAGCGGGAGAGCGAGAGAAGCCCAAAGAGTCAAAGCGAGCCCAGGGGCAGAAACAGCGGGGGTAAGAGAGGGGGGGCAGACCAAAACATGCGTGCAGGATCAATCACATGTGCATCATCTGTGCCGTTTCCGATGCTTCTTGCCGCCCCGCGTTCATGCACTCCTGGAAGTAGAACTCTGAGGACCCCCTTGTTGCGAATCATCCTCCTCGGAACTTTCAATTCCCATTTGCAGCCCGTATGCATGAAGAGCCTCAGTCCTACGCTGAAACTCCCGTCTCGGGAGTCGGTGTAGCTCACGCCAAAGAGCACTGACATCGACACCGGCAAGGGCCCAGTCCCTGGCAGCTTGACACTCGTCCTCCGTCACTGCTGAACTCACAACTGCATTAGATAGACTCCCAGTCGTGGAACTCCCAGGGTGTGAAGCCATAGAATCTTTATGATGAGAATAATGCAACTGCTCATTCCGCAACTCCTCATTCTGCAACTCCTCACCCTGCAACTCCTCATCATGCAACTCCTCTTTCAGAACACCTGGATCAACAGAAGCCAAAGAATCTTTATGATGAGAATAATGCAACTGCTCATTCCGCAACTCCTCATTCTGCAACTCCTCACCCTGCAACTCCTCACCATGCGACTCCTCTTTCAGAACACCTGGATCAACAGAAGCCGTATAATCTTTATGATGAGAATAATGCAACTGCTCATTCAGCACCTCCTCACTCTGCAAATCCTCATTCTGCAACTCCTCGTCCTGCAGCTCCTAATTCTGAACACCAGGAAAAAAAGAAACAGAACCCAGCACACCATCTGGAGACTGCACCGCATCTGGAGAATAAGCAACAGAATAAGACGAGAAAGCTTTCCCACGATCAGTTGGCCCATCGGGTTTAGCGACTCCTTCGAATGACTCAGTCATCACGCCCAGAGCCTCTAGCACACGGATCTCTGGAGATTGCACCACGGCTGGAGACTGCACCACCTCTGGAGACTGCATCCCCACTGGAACGCACTGCAGAGTATGGATGTCAAAGAGGGCTTGTCGAAACATGGCGAGTCTCAGCCTTCTCGCTCTCCGCCGCCACGACGAGGATGGGAAAGAAGAAACGGGATAGGGTATGGCATACAAAGTAGAAGTCGACGAGGTACAAAATTGCGTTGTCATGGCACCACACAGCAAGGGGTACTCACACAACAAATCTGACTCCACCCACTGCAGAGACAAGAGGTGCTCAAGCCGCCATCGCACGGCCCGCCCGCGCGCACACGGCCGCCCAGGGGGCAGCCTGAGGAGCCCGCGCCGGAATTCCTCTAGCTCATCGCCAACGAAAAGCTCTACGAGGTATTTTTCGATGTCAATACGAGGTCGGTTCCCTGAAGTGAACTGGCGCCGGCGGTGAACCGTCAACCTGGTCTTTTTGCGTCTTTTGCGAAGGCCGGTTCACGCTCCCATGGGAGCAGGCCTAAACACAAAGAACCTAAGCAGCGAAGCTGCAGAGATTAAGTACAAGTGCACAAACAGCGAAGCTGTACAGGAATGCACAAGTATACAATACACGAGAATGCAACTCAAAGATGAAAATAAAAGCAGTGAGAGACCATACAGTAACCACTGGTTTATACAGCGATTAGCGTCTCAACACCACTGAGAATGTACAAGATATTAAAGGTCAGAATGCAAGTAAGAAAATGAAACAAAGTGAAAAACAGCGAGGTTCAAAGGCCTATTTTGAGGCACCACGTGACAAATCACGGAAAGTCACTTTCACGCGCATGCACGACAACACACACAGGCATGAAGAAAGGCAACGCAATGACAAATCAAGCGTGCAGGATCAATCACATGTGCATCATCTGTGCCGTTTCCGATGCTTCTTGCCGCTCCGCGTCAATGCACTCCTGGAAGTAGAACTCTGAGGGCCCCCTTGTTGCGAATGATCCTCCTCGGAACTTTCAATTCCCAATTGCAGCCTGTATGCATTAAGAGCCTCAATCCTACGCTGAAGCTCCTGTGTCGGGAGTCGGTGTAGCTCAAGCCAAAGAGCCCTTACATCGACACCGGCACGGGCCCAGTCCCTGGCAGCTTGGCACTCAGAGCGCGTCTCACTCGGTCGATCTGCAGAACTCCCATTCATGGAACTCCCTACTGCATCAGCTGAACTCCCAACTGCAGAACTCCCAGCTGTTGAACTCCCAACTGCATCCTCAACTGCATCAGCGGAACTCCGAACTGTGGAGCTTCCTACTGCACTCCCAAGTGCAGAACTTCCTACTGCACTCCCAAGTGTTGAACTTTTGGTCACGTTACTATCGCTATAAGCCAGGAAAAACGCATGAACAAAATCCTCCTCAGCCACCTCCTCCTGCTCCATCTTAGCAACTGCTTCACTATGAACATTCTCCTCCTCCTCGTCCTTGCAGCCAGGGTTCGATGCCACAGCATCAGCTGAACTCCAAACCGCGGTACTCAAAACTGCAGAACTCCCAGCTGTTGAACTCACAACTGCATCAACAACTGCATCAGCGGAACTCCGAACTGTGGAACTTCCTACTGCACTCCGAACAGTGGAACCCCCGACTGCACAGGAACTCCCAACTGCAGAAGCATCACCCGGATCAGCGCGCACTCGATGACACTCCTTCTCCTCCTCACCAACAGAGAGAACACAAAGATCAGTCTGAGTCCCACACTCAATGTGAACACAGGGATCTGTCTGAGTCCCACATTCGGAACACTGCGAACACAAAGAGTTGCCAGCCAATTCAACAGCATCCATATCAGTCTGTGTTCCACAAGTGTCCTCAACCCACTCCTCTTCCTCAGAATCGTCCGAGCAGAAATTCCGATAATATCTGGGCGCGAAAATTCCCGCGCGAACAAGGCACGACGGATCTGGCCCCCGAGCCGTGGACCACAAACGATACCTGACACGTTTCGCCCGCAGGCGGCGCAACTTCGATTGAGAAACTTTGACACCATGCCCATACAGCTGGTCTCGCTCATGCATGCGAGACTCACCTCCGTACGAAGGGCGAACACGGCATTATAGATCACTAACACACACTTCGACCGTAGACCAACGAGCAGACAAACACGCGAGAGACTCGGAAGTAAACAACGCCGTATCTGTCCAATCTGAAGCAAGAAAATCCGCGCCTGACAATTCAGATGAAACAAACTCCATATATAAAAACGTGGACTCGCTCTACAAGAAGGCAAATCACAAGCAATAACTAGATGGACAGTTGAGATAACCAAGGAAAATGCTGTTCCAACGATACTCCGACAATCTCAACATTTATATGCACTCCGACGACAATGGGCGCGGACAGGCCTTCGACAATCAATAAGAGTGTACGGTACTCAGGCAAAACAGACACTGAAGCACCGTGTACGGTAAGAGAACCAAACGCCAGGCACGGCACGATGCCGCTCGAGGAGGCCTCCGACGGGCCAGGTCGCCGCTGAGATCCCGAGGAGGGACAGCAGCAACCTGGTCTTTTTCCCAACCATCCTGCGGTGTTGGGTCCTCGTTTTGAAGAGACGGTGCCCCGCGTTCCTCTCCTCCTTCCTCCTCCCCCTCCTCCCTCCCCCCCCTCCTCTTCTCTCTACCGTCAGAATGATCATCTGCAGCATCATCCTCATCCACATCCTCATCCTCATCATCGTCTTCATCATCGCCCCCACCGCCCATGTCGTCACGCCCCTCACACGCTTCGTGGCCCCATAGGGAGCTCCACCGAAGGTCCCACTGGGGGCGTTCGCATGCGTCTCCCCCACCCAGGACAGCGTTTCGTGGCCCCATAGGGAGCTCCACTGAAGGTCCCAACAGGGGTGTTCGCATGCGTCTCCCCCACGCAGGACAGCGTTTCGTGGCCCCATACATAGGGAGCTCCACCGAAGGTCCCAGTAGGGGTGTTCGCATGCGTCTCCCCCACCCAGGACAGCGTTTCGTGGCCCCATAGGGAGCTCCACCGAAGGTCCCACTGGGGGTGTTCGCATGCGTCTCCCCCACCCAGGACAGCGTTTCGTGGCCCCATAGGGAGCTCCACCGAAGGCCCAAGTGGGGGTGTTCGCATGCGTCTCCCCCACCCAGGACACTGTTTCGTGGCCCCGTAGGGAGCTCCACCGAAGGTCCCAATAGGGGTGTTCGCATGCGTCTCCCCCACGCAGGACAGCGTTTCGTGGCCCCATAGGGAGCTCCACCGAAGGTCCCAGTAGGGGTGTTCGCATGCGTCTCCCCCACCCAGGACAGCGTTTCGTGGCCCCATCGGGAGCTCCACCGAAGGTCCCAATGGGGGTGTTCGCATGCGTCTCCCCCACCCAGGACAGCGTTTCGTGGCCCCATAGGGAGCTCCACCGAAGGCCCAAGTGGGGGTGTTCGCATGCGTCTCCCCCACCCAGGACAGCGTTTCGTGGCCCCATAGGGAGCTCCACCTAAGGTCCCAGTAGGGGTGTTCGCATGCGTCTCCCCCACCCAGGACAACGCTTCGTGGCCCCATGGGGAGCTCCACCGAAGGTCCCACTGGGGGTGTCATTTCGGCACACCCCTCACACGCTTCGTGGCTCCATAGGGAGCTCCACCGAAGGCCCCAGTGCCCGCGGCCGCATGCGTCCCCCACACCCATTTCGGCACACCCCTGCACACCCATTTCGGCACACCCCTCACACGTTTCGTGGCTCCATAGGGAGCTCCACCGAAGGCCCCAGTGCCCGCGGCCGCATGCGTCCCCCACACCCATTTCGGCACACCCCTCACACGTTTCGTGGCTCCATAGGGAGCTCCACCGAAGGCCCCAGTGCCCGCGGCCGCATGCGTCCCCCACACCCATTTCGGCACACCCCTCACACGTTTCGTGGCTCCATAGGGAGCTCCACCGAAGGCCTCAGTGCCGCCGCCCGCATGCGTCACCCCCACCCATTTCGGCACACCCCCCGCATTTCTCGCACGGCAGGGTCATCACCACGGTGGCGTGCCAGGGGCGCACCATGCGCGAAGGCGACGGGGCGGGGGAACGGCGCTCCGGGGGCGGCCAGACCTCCGGGGCGCGAGCAGTCCGCGGCCAGACCATCTCTCGGTCCTGTGGACTCTCGCCCTGGGCCGTCGGCTGCCCGGCGCGCTGCTCCCTCGGTCGACGTCGCCCAGGCGTGATCCTGGATTGCGGCCGCCACGAGGTAGGGAACGGCAAGAAGGAGGACGACGACTGGTGGCTGGAGCTCTACGCGCTGCTCTCGCGCGCCACGCGCCACGAGGACCTCCTGCTCATGCGGGCGCCGCGCATCGAGTTCTTCCTGGCAGGGCCGCCGCAGGGCTTGCGGAAGCAGCTGGAGCAGTTTGCGGCGCGCACGAAGCGGTGCAGGAGGGAAGCGACGGCCCTCGCCAGGGAGCTCGGCTTCACCGAGTTCATCCGCGAGGCCTGACCTGAGGAGCGTCTCCCCCGAGCCGCGCCTTCTCTCGACTGCCCGACTAATTGTTTGGCCTCGCGCCGCGGACGACCCGCGCGCGTCGCTGGGACCCTCTCGGGGCGACCAGCGCGCGTCGCGGGAACTCCGTGCTGCGGGGGGCCCGGCGCCTCGTTCGCCCGTCGTCGCTCTGCCCAGCGGTCAGAGACTTGCCCGCTATCAGCCAGCCAGTTAGCTAGTCAGCTCTCTCTGCTTCGCGCAGCGGACGACCCGCGCGCGTCGCTGGGACCCCGCCCGGGGCGACCAGCGCGCGTCGCGGGGACTCCGCGCTGCGCTGCGCCCGCAGCCTTGGATTTTGGAGTGCGCGGGCAAAGAGGAAGGAAAAGAAGAGCCGAAAGCGGGCGCGATCCTCGCAAGAGGCGTGCCGACATGGGCGTCGCGACGTGCGGACGCTGCCGTCGGGGTTCCCGCGGAAGCTGCCTGCGGCGGCCACGCCCAGTGTCACGTGTGTTCGGACAGGCATGCTCGACACTTACACTAGGCGGTTCCATGATCGCATTCATGCAAATATATTCACTCGCGCGCAGACCCATTCATACTCAGATTCCCTCGCGCTCTGACTCACCCGCGTTCTTTCTCTCGTAATCAGATCAATCGTAATCCTTTGCGTTGTGTACCCCGCCACATTTCGGCACACCCCTCATGCGGTTCGTGGCCCCATAGGGAGCGCCACCGAAGAAGATACTCCCAATTGCGATACTCACAACTGCATATGGTTGGGTCCTTCGCCAGGATAATTTTTGCGTCTTTGCTGGGACCGTCTTGGCCACTAAGGCCAGGTCCAACAAAGTATCAGGCGAAACAGAGCCTCTTATTCATCACGCAAGCAGTCAGCTCTTATACCTCACAGCGAAGCTGAAGGAATAAAGAGAATCACATGCCGCAAAGACACAATCAAACGCAAAGCACACAAAAGACAAACGAATGAGTCAGTGAACAGCGAAGCTGTTGGAATAAACCAGAACACAGATAAAGAAGAAACAATGTGTGACTTATCACTGCGAATGATCAAAGAAGGTCTGCACTACCTGCGGGAGCACATCGCATATGCGCTCCGCCGCTGATAGTTCCGCATCTGTAACAGTGGCGCTTGGTGGCAGACACCAAGCCGCAAGATACACATCCTTGAAAATGATGTCGGTCCGCGAGAAGATATATTTGTTTCGCAGACCAATCTGTATCCACACACCACAGGCACTTCCGCGGCTACAAACGCCCCCATCAAAGCCGGCTTTGATAAGGCAAGAAGTATAACACTGAGATTCAAAATCGCTGAGGTAAACGAAATCGGCGTACAAGTGGCCCTGACGGGCCTGATGGGTCAGTAAGTCAGCTCTCTGGTTCCATTCCCGAAAAGAATGAGAGAAGAAGTCACGGCCAGCCTCTGGAGGCCTCACCGAGTATGTTTCCTGCATCTCGTCCAACTTATTAATCAGAGTATCCACCCTTTTCTGATATACTTGAGCGAATACTTTCCATTTCCCACAGAGCCAGTTAATCACAAGCAGTGAGTCCCCCTGGATATCCAGTGGTATCCCATCCGTTTCGAGGTCCCACTGTGTACAACGCATGTTATGCAATGCAATACGTTTGCTGAGACGTTCCCTAAATGCTGGTGTATCCTCCCGATCCTGACCAATATGAACCCTCCATCCTCATTCAAGTTCAAGAACACAGGCACCCCTGAGGACGCCAAACCTTTGCACTTCTTTTGGAAATACTTCAACATAGTACTAGAACAAACATGTGCAGCGAAATCCATGAAATGTTCAAAACTTACAGCAAAGAACTCCCACCAGGATAAACCATAAAACGATTCCCATGAATAGCACCACGGACGAAGTCCTACACTCTCCTGTCCCCCCCGATGTCGTTTCATTGAGCCGGCCTCCTTCCAATTCCCCCAACATCTGAGAGCCTCGCTTGAATCCGTCCTCATTCTATCCCACAGTCGGCCAAACGCCAGGCATGAGAAACGAGAATCTCTCTAAGCTCTTGTCGAATTTGCCTCCAGCGCCTCCCGATCTGTGATCAACCTATGGGCAAAATCATGGATGTCGATTGCCCACATCCAGTGCACTCTGAGAAACTTCTGTACAATACCCGCATAGTGTGCATGATGAAATTTTTGTCTCGCACGTCCATACCTCCTCGTATTCCATTCCTGATAGCTTTCCCCTTCCCTCCGTATACAACGAGACATTACAGCCAGGCACTTACCCTCAAAGATATGAAGGGCACTCAATGAACTAGAGTCGACCGTACATCCTTCCGCCGCGTAGAGAACAATACTCTGAACCCTCTGTGCATACCTCTCATACTTATCTTTCAACGGGATGGCCGTGGAGCGGAAGAAGGTCGCCTGCCCCCAGAAAACCCTGCGAGCAGAGTCAATACTAGCATCCAAATATGGATGGTCATTCACATGTAGTTCAGAACAAATATGAGCCCCAAGCACCTCCATCTCCGTCACCCTTCTAAATCGATACACTCCCGACTCCTCCGACCCCATCGAGAGAACAAGATCAGCAGTGCGTAATATTTCCCCTTCCGCATCTCGCGGAGGATCAACCCCGAACACCATGTACAATAGACTGGACTCTTTCCATCTCATGCCATAGTCATGTAACTGTGTAGTTAGACCGTATAACATGCGCGTGAGTTCCTCCCGACTCCGAGCCAGAACATAACAATTGTCCGCCCAAAGGAATGTGATTAATAATCGAAACACAGCTAGTCGAGCCAGTCGCAAACTCAATACGATGACCTAGTCCTAGTACGTCCCATTCTCGAATCGTGGAACTCCACATAGCAGCAACAATAAGGTTGAAAGCCAACGGGCCCTCAGGCCCTCCCGTCCGAATACATTTGTCCCACCTTACCTCCAAAACCTCAATCCCATCATAATAGACAGTGCCTACACATTCGCACAAGGGGTTAAGTAGAGCATACTGTAGGTATAGGGGCACACTCGCATGATCCAACCCGCGCCTGACATTGGCCACCGTGCAGTGATCGAACGCCTGGAGGACATCAGCGTTCGCCAAGTGTGCCGTTTCCCCTTTACCCCATTGTGCAGCA